TTATATTGTATATACATATATTTTCTTTTTTTTTTTTTTTTTTTTTTTTTTGGTTTATTGATAAATATTACAATCTGTCTCAAGAAAGGACATTTATAATAGAATTCTGAGAGCACATTCACACCATATTTACAAATTAAAAAAAAAAAAAATAAATAAAAAAAAATAAGCTAACTTCAAATAATATAAAGCTACTAAAGAACAAAATAAAATATCATAGTGAGAAAAAAAAAAAGTAATGAAAATAAACATCTTGGACGCTATTACACTATTTACAGTCGGCCATAGGAACTCCGAACCATACTTATCCCCCCACACGTGGAGGGAAAGCAAGGCTTTAGGAGATCCCTGCGCTTCTTCCTCAACCATTTCACTGGCATTGAAAGCCAGCGGAGATTGAGTAAGGGCGCTACAACCAAGGACACTCATGACTTGAGTGGAGAATCTGGCCATTGCCAGAACTCCAGTATATACATGTTACAAACGGGGCCACTGCCGTTTCAGCCTGCGAGGAGGATTGTAGGGATGAGTGGTGCTAGATAGGGATTGTGCTACGGGATTAGGGTGATGGGTAAGGTTCTGATGAAATTTGGAGAATTTGTCTGGGATAAGATCAAGAATAAATGGAATATTAAGGTCATTGTGCAGGGTTTTATTAGAGACATAAAAGGGAACATCGACTATTGTACGGAGGACTTTGGATTGGAAGGATTGAATGCGTTTGATGTTAGAAAATTTGGTTGTCCCCCACAGTTCTAGTCCGTAGGTCCACATGGGTTTTAATATTGTCTTGTAGATCAGTAGTTTGTTTTCAATAGAAAGTATAGATTTTCTATTAAGTAGTCTATATAGCTGGCCATAACGTCGGTTAAGTTCCTGTCTTTTCAGTCTAGTATGCGGATTCCACGTTAGTCGTCTGTCTAGGAGAAAACCAAGGTACCGGACTGTGTCGCAGAAGGGAAGCTGGATGGTATTAAAGTAAACTGGTGGACAGGAATTACGACGAAGGGTGAAGGTTATATGTTTACATTTGGATTCATTGACTTTGATGGGCCATTTCTTGCACCAGTGTTCAATCAAGGATAGGTGCCGTTGCAGGTTTCTGGACGCTGTTTCAGGATCTGAGTTAGAAGATAGGATCGCAGTGTCATCAGCGAAAGTTGCCAGGAGTGTATCGGGATGGACGGGAATATCAGCGGTATAGATGATGTAAAGGATGGGACCCAAGACGCTGCCTTGAGGAACTCCAGCCTCAATTGAATAACAGTCGGAAAATTCTGTACCACAGCGAACTCGAAAGGAGCGGTCGGAGAGGTAGGATTGGAGTATTAGGTATAAGGACTGTGGTAGATGGGATTTGAGCTTGAAGAACAGTCCGGCGTGCCACACCCGGTCAAAAGCTTGCTCTACGTCCAGAAATGCACTCGAGCAAAACTGCTTGTTTTCTAGGGCTGAGGATATGTGGTCAACAACTCGGAGTCCTTGTTGGACGGTAGAATGTTGGGAACGGAATCCGAATTGATGGGTAGAGATTTTACGGGAGTCTATTAAGGGTAGGATTCTTTTCAGGAGGATCTTTTCAAAAAGTTTTGAAAGAATTGGGAGTAGGCTAATTGGTCACATATATTTTCTAAATTCTACTTTTTTATAACATGGCATTTTGGTTAAAATTAATCTAAAATTTAATACGTACCTACCATGCACCGCTTCATACAATTTCCTAAAATGTATCATTATAATATAACTCGTCCGTTTGTCGTTCTATAATTTCATCGAATGTCGTTTTTTTTTTTTTTCCTTCTAGACCTTTTATATTTAAAAAAGTGTATATTTTGTAACCTTTGGCCTGATTTTTTTTTTAAATGTCATCGAACCTAGAATATATGAATTATATATATTTGAATAACTTTTTTAATGTTTGTTTTTAACGATTCATAACGACTTACTAACTTAAGCGGTTCTTTATAAGTACGTAGATGACATTTGGAATTTCCTTTTAAAGAATTAAGAAATAATTTAGAATATGAATCTTCAAAAAGAATTTTAAGATAATACATACATACAATGTCATAAATTAATGAATACGATTAGGGGAAACTAGAGGAGTGCTTGCTCTGGAAGAGGTCAATGACCTCTGATTTGAATATAAAAACGAAACAAATAAATAGCCGTGCCCTGAGTGGACTTGGTGATTCAAACGGAAGCGACTCATGCAGCATCCATGATATGCATTCAGAAAGAAGTCATTCCTCTCAACGCCGGATGTTGTATTGATTGTTGGCATGGTCAGGCGGGAAGAACGCATTTACACCATTTAATAAAAAGAACTTATGACTGAAAAATTTAGTAATATTATATCTATAGTTACGGTTTATAGCAATGTCCCATATTATATCAATATATGTATACAGGGTGTTTCAGGCTTAAGTGGCCAAAGTGATAATGTGAATTAAGGACCTCAAAACAAGAAAAAACAATCCCATGAAGGTATATTCGCAAACGCTTTGTTTAGGAGATATTCACACCTACAGATTTCCATTGTAGGTTATTTATTTAATTAGTTAAAATTAATTAAAGTTAATAAAACTTGTTTATTTGTTCCAACTAATTTATTAATTAAACGTAAACATGGTACAACTTATAATAAATATGTTCGGACTTCTTTCTTCATTTCGTAAAGGGGCAAAAATGCCATCGTGGTATTATAGCAAATGTACCAGTTTTTCTAAGACGTTGAAACGTGGAGCTAAAGATAGACTTGTTTGGTAATCTTCTATTCCTGTCATATTCACGACAGGCATCATTAGCATACCATTGCAAATACCGTATACAAACACCATATCGGCATATTTACCATTAGTATAAACCGAAGGCATAATGATGAGTACTCTGCGAAAGCCTCTTACATACAAACTGATAAATGTTATTGAGAGTTCCTAATGCTGATTCCAGATAGTATTAATCCTAATATTGCCAATAGTTTTTATACAGTTAGGGATAAAAGGCTATATTAATATTCTATCGAATCCATTTCCTAAACAAAGCGTTTGCCGTATACCTTCACCTTGAACAACATTTAATATGAATGTTAACGTTTACATATAATTAATAAAGTAGTTAGAGCAAACAAATAGGTTTTATTTATTTAATATAACGTAAATAATTCATAGCAACGAAAATCTTTAGGCGTGAAATGCGTTTGCGGACATACCTTCAGTGGAATTTATTTTTCATGTGTTAAAATAGTTAGTTAATTTTTGCAGTTAGGCCATTTAACACTGAAACACCCTATATAGAGCACTTAGAATTTAAGGAGCACTCACAAAAACTCTTTAATTCTAAATTCTGCTCCTAAATAACAGTCTGAGGATATTTCCTGTTACACATATTGCGTCTGTGCGCATTATGTTCATTCACTATTATTTGGACCTGTTAATCGTATCAATAAATTATTACACAAGTGTTGTGAGTAAAAATCTAACAAGGGTCGGATGAATACTTTGATAATAAATAATTTATAATAGTTTTAACTCTTTTTTGCAACTACAACCAAACCATCTTCACTCCGCTGATATGGCTAGGTCCGAAATATATAGAATTGTTCAAAACTGACAATGACGATTTCCTCCTAAATTAATTTTATTTTACGAGTTAGTGTTGTATATTAAAATGATTCATTATTAATCAATGATGTTATCGACCTGTTAATAAGAAAGTTCGATACTTAAAAACTGCACTATGGGGGTATGTTTGAACATAAAAATGTTTGCATCAAACGTTATTTTTTATTGAATTTTACCATATTTTATTTATCTAGTGTTATACGAGTGGCTTAATATCAAAGGATATCTGCCATTTTTAAAAAGTTGAGAAAAGCCTAATTATATGGAACAAAGCATCAATTAAAACCAATTTTAATAATTTCTTCCATAATTCAACTTGAACATTCTTAAATAAAACCATCAGAAACAGTTTGAGTTGGAATTAACAAACAAAAATTGACTGTTTGTCCAATTTCTAACAACGATATATGTCGGTCATTGATATGTAGCCATTCATATTGTATTCTTTATACTGATGCTTGCATGGGTTTGATTGCTGTTAGGACAAGATGTAGATACTATATATATATCACATATCATTTCATAAAATTCATGTTTTTACATTAGCTAACCATATCTATTTATTATTATTGTTTTGACCAACTGTTATTGTATCGGGAATCGTAAAAAAAAAAAAATAAAAAAAAAAATGTTGATATACATTGTATATACTAATAATTTATGAAAAAATCAATTACATATACAAAGAACCAAAAAGAATAATTAAATAAATTATTAAGTAAGTGAAGTGACCAAATTTTGTTTTATTTGTTTAAACCATTGAATTTGACGTTAGAACAACTGTGAGATTGTCCATGGATAAATAAATAAAAAGTACTACCAAAACTGTTATTACAGAAAAACAATAAATTAAATCAAATTATTGGAATTATTTTATGAAAAACTTTATGTAAACTTCTGTTCTCCTTTTGGAATTATTTTATTAAAAACTTTATGTAAAATTCTGTTCTCCCTAACCCAGCCTCTATAAAGCGGGTATCCTTAATTAAAAAATTAATTAAGGGGGAAAACCTGGAGGTTGAGCGCGATATCGGTCAAATCACCTTCTTGCACAACTGTTGACTTAGAAACAGTGCTTTCCCTAAATAGTACTGAACCCCAAACCCTTCATGGGTTATGGTGGTACAGGTTTTTTTTTTTTGTTCTGTTATAGAAAGAAAAGTATACTTTGAATCTCAGATAAGCGGCATTAGAGCAGTATTTGTATACTTGTTAATTTAATGCATTCTGCATATCGATACATTTTGATCCTGCTTGACTGATCGGATTAAGCAACTACATTTGACAACCACAACTCCGTCCCCTTGTAGACATTTAATTAATTAAATTTGTGCTGTCCATCTCGTCCTGTCTTATAGAAGGGTCACTCCCATTTCCATGTCCTGGATCCGCAGGCCATCACCGGGTTTAGAATATTCTCCTCACGACCCGGACACGTTTAAGGGAGACGTTGAGCTAGTGATGAATGCACGCGTCGAAACGTTTCAAGTCCTGCTTTCACGTTTTGACGGAAGCAGGCCTCGGTTAGTGGTGATACCCCCTACGGAACCAGATCAAGAAGAGAAAATTAATTAAGAAGTGTATCGGAGGTGTTGGTAGCCATGGCGGGCGGGGAGGCAGGTCTCTGTTCGGGGGAGTGCCGCTTTCATCAAACATTTTTCAATTAATTTGTGATCAGGAAACTAGTCTGCACTAATTTGAGAGAAAACTTCTATTAAACAAAATATTAAAATATTTAATTCTAATTATAGATGGGTCCTAGATATATTATATATAATTCGTTATGCTTAACAAAGAATCGCTTATGGGATGTAGAGTCATATTTCAATTAATAATTTTTATATCTTATTAAGTATTATATTTAATTAATTCTAATAAATAAGATGAAGAGAAACAGTTGATAGCTTATTCAATTGTTGCTAATGTCTCACTTTCTCAATAAGAAAATCAGCATGTTCAAAATAAATAAGTTGCAAACAAAGAAGCGAAAGTGGTATTATTCCATGTACAAACCGAGAAGTACCAATGCATTTGTAAGCTACAATTTTTTTTAGATAATTTTCAAGTAATCAGTGGAGGATTTTTTGGTGATACGAAAACTTTCTTCCGACTTCTCATGCTTAGTTTTCCTTCAAAGATACGCAATCGCTGTGCAAGCAAGAAAGATACCGTCAGAACGTCGAAAGCACGCTCCTCACAGAGAACTGTCGGAGTTGAAGTCGTAACTCAAGTCCCGTCACAACTCATTAAGTCTTCTCACAGATAACTGCGCTGGTATCAGTAAGAAATAGGTCATCCAAACTTCATAAAAAAAAAAAAAAATTCTCAGCTTATATTTTAAGTGTAAAGAAAGTATGTTAAAATATCTCATAGTGAATCAATTAGGTGTCCTTGACAAAAAACTATGAACGCTCCCACCGATAACTTTATACAGCAAACTGAAACCAACACATCTTCATTATGAAAATTAAGATCAACCAACAAACAAAAATAAATTAAGATCAAATCCCTAACACACAGGTGAATGGTTAACCAGCCAACGTTCTCCAATTCAGGCATCATAAATTAATTTATTTTTTAATTTAATTAAATAAACACATTTTTAAATTATAATAATAATAAAAAGTGTATATATATATATATATATATATATATATATATATATATATATATATATATATATATTGTATACGTCATTTACTTTCTCTGCTTCCTTCTAATAAGCTGTTGAATACAACCTCTTCTTCTACAGTATGTACGCAACCTCCCGTTTCCTTTAGTATGTATTTGGATTGGTTAGGGTGTGATGTCGTTTCTTTTTTTTCCTCCCATTTTTTTCTTTCTGTGTATATCCATAAGTCATAGAATAATAAAAAAAATATTTTCAATTTATTACATTTCATGTATGTCATCTTGTTTTAGGAATTGACGAAACGTTGGCCTTGGTGTTTGTATTTTTCCTTGCATGCACTAGTTAGCTTTAATATCATGTATGACACTTATTTCAGTGACAGAGTTGCATCCGCAAATCTAACAATTGACTCTTCTGTTTCAGTATTGCGGGCAGTACCCCCTGGATTGGCCACTGTCCGTGCACGGACGGCTCTGCGTACACCTCGGCTCCTCCGGCCCGGGTTCCCTGCTCCCAGGGGACGGATACCTCGCCCTCACCCCGAGGCTTAGCATCGAGAGCCGCGCTGGCCCCCTCAGCCTCCCTCCGGTCCTCAGCCCCCAGGGTCTGATGGCTGATCTTCCTGCCCTCCTCAGGGCTCTCGTCGTATCGGCAGAGAGGTCCTTGGCCAGGTTCCCCCTCGAGGAGCTGGCGTATCCCTGCTCCAACTGCGGCAGAGCTCCAGAGACTTGCAACTGCCATGCCGTCGAAAGGAGAGACTCCGGTATCCAGACATCTCCCATGTACGAGATGGACTCTAGCATACCACACATCGACAGTGACGATGAACACGAAAATGTCACGAGAAGTGAGTACAATATTCTTTTGACATGTCATTATAATAACTGTCCAACTTACTAACATCAAGTTCTATTGGAGGCATGTTCTTTACTGTATTTAATTAAAAATAGGGTTGATTATTATGTGAAATAATTTGAAGATATTCTATTTTCTTTTCAAGCAATGAAATTTTTAAAATAAAGGTACGTGTTTAATTCAGTCTAAAATTTATCTATTAAATCTTAGGTAAACTCATCAATGTGTTATCCTATCACACAGCCTTAAGATTGCATCACTCTTATAAAATCTAAACACATATTTAAAGAAAGTGCAGTCAACGATATTTGGTGTTATTTTCTATTTTATCTGCATTTTAAGGTGCGTTTATACACTTCACAAACAATGGAAAACAAAATTATATAAATTAACTAATAGCAACATTAAAGCTAAGCCAATTTTTTTTTGTTTCTCTTGTTACCCAGAGCAGATTTAAAACTTCCAAAAACAAGAACAAAAACAATGGCATAGGGTAACAACCCTTTATTTGTGAAATGTCTGAACGTACCTTAAGAGACACAAGACTGTGAGGTCGGATTTTTCCAATTATAGCTTTACACGTTTGTATAATCTTACTCATAGATATTTAGTCAAAATATTTATGAAATACGTTTATCAATTTTTAAATAAATTAAAAATAGATGCCTATTTCTTATTGTTTACACTTTTACATGTGGATATTATTCGAATGCCTTGACAACCATAAAATCAATCTTCTTATTATGTTCTTAATCTCCGATGTTTCCAAATCATAATTCATTATAATTTTATTCATATGATTCCCAACTACACATGTGAAATAACGAGTGTGTTTGCAATTCGAGGGCGTCTTATATTCCATTTGATACGGGGTAATAATGATAGAGTAATCTTTCGGTTCACGAGATTTGACCATTAGCTGTCAGTTGCCTACAAAATCCTGTATGATGTGGCTGACCGTCAAATCGTATTAGAACATACCGATTGTTAACTGCAGATGTTTTGAACGAAGATATGGCTGAATGAAGAACGAAACACACTACTCATAGTGTATGAAGATTAAATAATTGAATGAAGAGTAAATTAATTTATTCATTCTCCCCTTATGTTACACTTAAGGAGGCGTTTGGACATTTCTCTATCAAATAATATTATCTATTTCTAGATCAAACAATATTACTAAATAACAGATATTCCATTCAAAGCAAAGCATGGAATCTTCGTTATGAGTTACTGTTTATTAATGAAAGATTATAGATGTAAATATGTCATATAATGTGGGACGCGATAATTTATCCCCAAACGCAGCCGGATTATAATTTTCCGATGTTGTAATGGAAGAGCGATCAAAAGCTGCCCACACAGAATAGGGGAAGCCTAATCTACACCAGTGTTACATAAGTTTTAAAAGACTTAGGAACTCTGTGAGCAACTATAAATACCATGAAATAATGGCTCCCTCATGTTCCGCCTTTTATAAAACAAGGGCGGCCCTTCCAGATGTTCACCTGTTATTAACATGGATTGTATTAGAAGGGCAGCCCTAAGGGCGTGTACTTTTTTTTTTTTATTTATTTTTGGTAGTAGCTGTAGAGAGGTGAGTGTTACCTAAGGCCGCGGAGTCGTGATATTCAACGCACAGTTTACTTGAAAGATCTTCTTTTTTTTTTTAATTTGATATCAGGAAGGACAAGAAAAACATAAAAAAATATTTTACAACAATAATAGTAATAGTATTATAGATGGAAAAACTTAAACTTAATATATTTTCTGACATACAAGTGAACATTCATCTAACTTATCAAAAGTTTTACAAATTCAGGCATCATCACCTCAGATAAAACAAGATCACATGAACTCACACTAAGAAATACAAATATAATGTCATACAAATACAATAATACAAAAATTTTTTAATTAAATAATACATAAAAAATCAATAAATACAAAAGGAAAAAAAAACTCGAAGGATTTTTTCCCCTTTTTTTTCTATCTGCATATATGTGATCCAGTTGTTTCTGCTGTTATATGCCTGAATTTTCGAAACCTTGGTAATTTAACTGTTCTCTTTGTGACTCATAGCTATATAGTTTTTGGATTTTTCTATTTAAAACATGATCACGTATGTCTTTTTTCAAGCTATATTATTATTGTAATAATAATAAAAGGTTTAACAAACCCGAAGGTTCTGCGCGGATACCACAAATCGCTCAACACTATCCTCTATCTAATTAAGCACGAATATTTCATCGAAAATAATATATTTATTACGTTTTGTCTTCTCCACATTTATTTCGAGCCTCATTCTTTACCGGTTTTCCTTAACGTTGTTGTATTTAGTTTTATTGTTTCTGTGGAAACGAAGTAAAAAACTATTTAAACAGTATTAGAGGAGGACAGCTTTATGTTCCCTTGGTCACTTTGGATAACAGGAGGAATCTTGTTGGTATATTTAATAAATAAAAACAAATATCCATCTAGGCCTTCTCTACTCTAATTAATATACTTCTATATAAAATGAAATGAAAAATAATTTTATTCTGGGACTGAGGTCCCCTTAGAATAATAGTAGAGTTTACAAAATATACACCTTAGTCTAGCATGTAAGTATTATATAAATATATACAAAAAATATCTCGGAAATGATAAGCACACACACACACACAAAGATACTAAAAAAATATATATATTCTATAATGTTGTTAAAAGAGAGATCTATAAACCGAGGCACTTCTGCAACACCATACAAATATGTCTTGAACAGGTAGATTAATGGATTAATGTAAGTTCAATGAAATCTGACTAGCAGTTTAATTCTTTAATAGGTTGTATATATTCAAGTAGGACAAGTTAATGTTCATTTATCAATTATAATTTTTTCTTTATTTGCTTATTTAGAAATATAATAATCGGTCACGCGGACAATAATTATAATGATATATGAACCCATTCACACCATACATACAGAAAATATAAAAGTATCAATTATTAAGAATGAAACCTCACCAATGTTGTGAGATGATCCCATATATCCCAGAATGGTATATTCTAATAATTCATCGCATAATAAAGTACGATTTTCTTTACTATTGACTTAATATAGTTTGATACAATTCACCTTAAATTTAAAAACTAAAATTACCCTGCAATGTATTTCTCGTAGACAATAGTGCTAACAACACGACACCTATCCCCCCAGGTTTAAAAATTCCTTCCACTTTGGGAACCGTGTTACACGTTCAGTAAGTTATTGGTTCATGGTTACTGTCGCTAACCAGGGACAATAGCGTCACGTTAGCGTGGTCCATTCTATCTGATCCTCGGGTAATTAACGGCAGCTGAACACATTGATAACCACGAACAAGAAACTAGCTGAGAAGCGGTAATAACTTCAAACGCCCAACGTCTTAGTAAAAGAACTTAACTTGCCAAAGTTTATTCATTATGTGAAGTCCTAAGTTTATGATAACACTTATAACCATATGTTAATTAATAAAGTTAGGAAAATGGTCTATTTTATAGGTTCTTACAGTAAGGAGATTTGATGAGAGTAGCAATAAGCGAAATATATGAAACATTTCAACCCGTTTCGGTCTATGATGAAGGTCTTTTTAAGGTTTGTGTACTATAAAATACTATAATGAAGATATGAGAATAACTTATGAGAGGAAGATAAATGAAATAAGAGTTTAGACACAGCAAACTTATTTGCAAGCGCAGCTATACAGTTCTTTATAGGATCTCGCGCAACGTGGTTTTCTGGTTTTATACGGCTGAGGGACATCTGTTTTGGAACAGGGAAATCATTGGGTTTGGGGCTGTGAGTTTTTACGATCAACCAAGACAAATCACAACACATCACTTGCACTCTTTGACATGAAACATGCCCTCCTATTTACGTAGACAATGCCAAAATTCCTCAAACAGATAAAATACAATATCATGGACTGACATTTGACAGAAGAATGACATGGGGCCGCCTACATAGATATCAAAAAATAAAAACGTTAAACATCTGACTACGACTGGTATAACAGTATAAATACATCTCTCAATACGCTCAAATTGAACCAAAATCAAAAACTGAACACTTGCATTCATCTACTTAAGCCCGGACCTACGCCTCAGTTTTCTGGTGGTCAAAACTCTTGGTGAAATAAACATTGTTTTTATTCTTTCTGCCGACATTCGTCCTAAGGTTTAGGCCTTGGTCAGATCCAAATAAAGAAAATATAACAACATTATGATAATAAGAGAGATAAATAAAACAAAAAAAAAAATTAAGAAATAATATGAAAAAGGTACGTTATCTAGTAAAAACAAAAATACAAAGAAGTGAATAAGAAATATGTTCTATCAAATTATTTTACCTATTTTTATACACATATTTGTTCTTGTTTTTCTATTAATAATTGTTTACTATTTCTCAAATTACTTGTATGAAAACCTGAAACTTAAGTCGAAAAGTGGGCACAAAAAATATAAATGTAATTTATTTTTCTGTATTTAAAAGACCGCGATTCCCAACCACCTCCTCTTCAACAATATCCTTCAGCAGTTAAGAAATATCCACCACCATTTATTTAAGTTATCTTTATCTTTCTTATCATAACGTTGTTAATATCTTTAGTTAGCCCTGATGAAGACCAAACGTCGACACAAAGAAAATAAATAATATTTTGAGTACTTACCCAACCATCCATAACCAACAACTCTTCACTATATTGATATTTAAAATTATAAAAGTGCAACAGATAGAGCGAAAAAATGGAAGATACTTATTATTGGTCTGATTTACTTGAATTTAAAAAAAAAAAAAACTAAGAGAACAAGCATATTCTGTTAGATAGAATATTTCAGTAAATATTATCATTATTGATTGCAATGTAATATTTTTTATTACAAATTAATAATAATTATTTTATTTCATTAAACAATTTAAATAAAATAATTGTAATGGAATATAAGTAGTTCGTTACGAGTGTCCTTAAAAAAGTAAATAGAATAACAAACAATATAGTAATATAAAATAAAATATACAGTCA